GCGAGTTATTGTAACATCAGGGGTCAAAAAGTAGGTGTCCGTGTGTTAAAGATTTTGTTTTCAATTTTAATGATACGGACCTCGGGATGGTGTCAAAATGTAGGGAAGACCTGCCCCTACAACCTAACAAAGCCGGATTTTTGCCTCAGAAAAACCGCTGTAAAACCCTCAAAAATCATCGCAGAACCAATAAATCATAGTGCATTCGAAAGCAGATATATTGGGCTATACAACTATGCATAAATGTCCAAATCGAGTTTTTTGTTGAAAAATGCTTTTTTAAAACTGCCGTGTACAAGTCTGATCTCAACTTCAGAGTGAGTCTAAGGTAAATAACTGACCCTGATTGCATTATGTGCCCGAAGAGAAAACAACACGGTGAAATCACTGTTTCAGCTACCTTAGGACACACTTTCTTTTCAAACGACTCTTTTATATCAAAAGTTGTTGTTTTTCACTTTTTGTTTCTCATAAGAATCTTAAAAGAATGACAAAATATGCTAGAAATCGTTTATGCTATAGGTTAATAAATGGCAGAGTCATTCATGCTAGACAACCTTCCCGAATAGGCAACTGTATAGCCATTTATTCGGAAAAAAGTGTGGGTAAGCCATTTATTCTGGAAACGGCGCAATTTATTATTTTCTGAATAAATTGTAAGCTCTCGATTAGGAGGACACAACATCCTGCTATTAGTAATAAACAATTCTTCTCTCTGCTTGATATTAGGCAAAGCGGCCAAAAAACGGTCTTTTTTAGCCGTTTCTTTAGGTTTTGTCCTAAAAAACATGTAAAAGCTTGTTTTAATTTCTTATTTTGACTTGTATTGAATAGGGGTGGCACATTACTATTACTTTTAAGAGTAATCCAAATATTGTATATATTCCTATTACCAGTAACAGTAATACTTTCCAGTTTTACTGTTGCCGGTACAAATTTTCTGAGCGTTCCTATTACCAGCAACAGTAAAACTGGAAAGTATTACTGTTACTGGTAATAGGACTATATACAATATTTGGATTACTCGTAAAAGTAACCGTAATGTGCCACCCCTAGTATTGAATAGAGAAAGCAATTTTGCATACGTTTGAGTGTGTTTCAGCAACCGGAAACACACTCTGCGGACGATGAAATCTCGAAAGAAGCCGAAAATACCGGCCATAGACGAAAGGGAGTTGCTAAATTTCAAGAACGTAACTTTGAACAAAACGAGGGTGATATTCGGAATCAGCGTTAAATTCTGCATCTGGAGATGTGCCTCATATTGAATTTGGACAAAAAGAAAATTCTGATGTACCAAGGGTGAGATAGGGAGGTGAAATGCACGTGAAAAATGATTGTTGTTTTAAAAATCTAAATGAGCCATTTTGCTAATCGTGAGTACGTAGAGCCATATTGAGCTGTCTAAAGACACGATTCTTTTGTATACCAGAATAAAGCTTTACTTGGATCGTATGTTTCATCAAACTCACGAATAATATCCAACTGCAGCTTATCATCTTTGTATTTTAACATTTTAACAAGATCGTATTTTGCAATAGAATAATCTGGCATACGAACTAGCACTTCCAAATACAACTGATTCCATAAAAAATTTCCATTTTCCGATGTCAAATTTTTATGTGTTATTTCTTTCTGATTGAAAATACTCATATTTAGATCTTCACTGGATGTAAGGCCCTGAAATACGAACGATCTCGAATTTCTACTCCCCCACCTCATACCAGATGCACCTCTCGGTCTAACACGAGCGCTGAACAGATAGATGAGCAGACATCTGTATTCAAACGTTTTTTCAACAAGCACTGATTTGAGCGTTACAGTTAGAATTCAGACTTAAACATAGGCTTTGCGAAACGGCCCCGGGATACAACTACAATTTCGTTGATCCACTGCAAACTTATTTATCTGCTAACTTAAGCCAAAAAGATAAAGGAAAGAAGAAGCTGATCTTTTTCAATTATACAGCACGAGAATGAACTCACGTATGTGCAGACAGGAGATTAGAAACTAAACCAACATTTTTACTCTTGGTCGTAACAAAACTTCATGAGCTCAGATGCGGTGGAGAGTATACGAGCGTTCTCCTTGCTTTTCAGAAGAACAATTAACTCAGGAAAAACGTTACTCGCAAGGCCATGACGAAAATAATTTTTTATCTATTTCGATTCCTCCTCGCAGTGCACGATCGAACTTTTTGCCTTCATGTATAAAAGTTTAGAGTCCTATGAAAGAGGTTCAATGAGCTTCCGAAATAAATATTGGTTTGCTTAGGTTAGTCAAACGCGCCCAAGCGAAACTAAGTAAGCGAGAAAATCTAACTGCAGAAGTAGCTGCAGCGCCCACTTACAGCTAGATTAACTAGATTAAAAGGTACATTTATCTAGCTGCATGCTGATTGAAATTGTGTACTAACTGAAACGGCCACTCCATGGGCCAATTAATCGAGCAATGAATTGCCCGATTAATCGATAGCAACTAGTTGTACCCAATTGAAACTAGCTTCAATCTAGCTGAAGCTAGATAAAATTTTCATGTATTTCTGTACAGCTAGCTG